GATAAGATGAATGCTGAAGTTGTTGTGAACATCTTTGTCAGAAGTCTATTCTATCATATACACAGTCTATCTTTGTTCATTGTATCAGATAGAGACAGTCAGTTCATGAGTGCACTTTGAACTTATATATATCAACTACTGAGAATCAAGCAAAAGTTGTCAACAGTGTATCACTCAGAGATCAATGAAGTCACTGAGAGAATGATACAGACAGTTAAGAATATTCTCTGAAAGTTCTGCAACTATATATAAGATGACTGGAGCAATCTACTGCTGTATACTGAGATTGCTATAAACAGCTGAGATTCTGCTACAACAGATGTAAGTCTGTTCTTTCTTTTATATAATTATGATTTAGAGATTCTGAACTTCTCTGAGACTCTTCAAGAAATCATATATGTCCACAGTTCTGTACAGATGGCAGAGAATATAATCAGCAAGCTTAAGAAAGCTCACAAGTGAATTGAAGCTTCAATGACCAGCACTCAATAAGACTATAAGAATTAAGCAAACATCAGAAGAAGTTCTGCAACTCATTATAGTATAGAAGACAAGATCTGATTAGATCTCAAGAATATAAGAATGAATCACTTCTCACATACACTGAACTACTGTCACATCAAATACACAGTAGTAGAAGTGCTAGACACTCACAACTATCAACTGAACATTCTGCCTAACATTCATGATGTCTTTCACACAAATCTGCTTCAACCCACAGCTGAGAACTCATTTTCTTCACAAAAGACCTCCAACTGACAACCACCTGCCATTGTAGAAGAAGACAATGAACTCAAATGGGAAATTGAAGCAATCCTTGGTGATAGAACCAGTCACTGCCACCACAAATACCTTGTCAAATGGGTAGGGTACAATCACCCAACCTGGGAACCCACATCTACTATGAAAGACATCATCACACTTGATGTCTACAAATCCTCACTTGCCTCAGTAGAGGGGGATAATGTGATGGGTTAGCACCCACTAGTAAGTTAACTTATGCAATCAATCCTCTATCACTCATTTGCCCTCTCACATACTCTTGCACATCCACAGAACACCTCTTTTCTCACAATTCTGCTCCACACTTGTGTAGTCTCTAATGATTCCTCTGCATAACTCTTAACATTCTTCTGCTCCACACTTCACTGCAGTATGATCTCTGATATTCTTCTGTTCTGATTCTTCTTCTATAAGAATCCTCTTGTATGACCCCTTCTTCTGATCTTTCTTCTCTTTCTTTTCTTAATCAATTCATAAACTGTTATCAGAATAGTGTCAAGTCTGTTGATATTGCTGTTGAAACAGATTGTACAAACTGTGCAGATGGTACAAACAGTTTGATCTGCAACATCGGTAACATCTGCTTAATCGGTGGCACGCCTGTTACAATTACTAGTTATTCTAGATATTTTTCTTAATATTATATTTTAATCTATGATAGTGGCACTATCTTCTGACTTAGTGAACAAGCTCAGCAACACTCTATAAGACTCAATTTTATCTTATAATCAGTAAAAAGCTTACTAGATTAGAGACTTAGTAGCAATATTGATCATCTCTAATTCAAGATCACAGAGATCTCTATTTGAAGAAATAACTTGTTAATTAAGACAGAATTAAGCTTAATATAACTAGCTAAGTTTAAAGATATGAATTTCAAAGCTCTAAAGAAAAGTTAACTATAGTATTCAAGATAAAATTAATTGTTGATGATGAAAAGTATGATGTAAAGAAGTTACTTGAATATTGCAGCAAGCTGAAGTAAGTAATCAGTATTCAAGAATTCAAGTACAATTCTTTCACATCATTCAGTGAAGAATATGAAAAGTTGAGAGTCTTTTTTAATCAGATGAATATTTATCTTACTGTAAATGCATCTAAGCTGACAGAAGAACTGAACAAAGTTTTATTAGCATCAATATTCTTGATAGAATCTACATTCAACTGATTTGAATCAAGAATCAGATCATGATTTCATAAAGTAAAAAAAGATTATAATAAACAAATTATAAAAATCTTTTATAACTATATCAGATTTACTCATCAGTTACAGCAGATATTCAGAAATATCAATGAAAAACATTCAGCAGCTCAAAAACTATATCAGTTTAAATAAGCAGAATCAGCTGTATGATATATATCTGAGTATCAGCAGCTAAACTTACATCTGAACTGAAATAGTAAAGCTTTGACAGTACAATTTTATCAAGAACTATATGAAAAAATCAAGAATGAAATATTGAAACTAGCTCAGAGATCTGAAGAGTTATTGACAATGATTGAAATAGTCATCAGAATCAATAATTGACTTCATAAATATAGATTAGAGAAAAAAGATTACTACACATTCACAATCAGAATTTATAAGAAATGAAGTGACTATTATAATTCATATCTGATGAAGTTGAATACCACTCTATCATCAAAAAAAAACAATGATAAGAAATAGAAATGTTAATATAAGAAGTTATGTTTCAATTGTAAGAAGTCAGAACATATAATCAGACAATGCTCTGAGAAATAAGATAAGAGATTATATACAACAACAAAGTCACAGAAAATAGAATATCTAAGAGTAATAAAAAAATTCAATAAGAAAAGTAAAGAAAGTCATGAAATATAAATTGTCAGAATAGAGATTGAAACAATTTATAGATATTAATGAGAAGAAGAGTGAGCTCAAGAATTAGCATGCATTCAGTGAGCTATAGATAAGTTTTGAATAAATTATGAACAATAAATCTGAAAAGAATATAAACAGTATCATCAACAGTTTCAAGACACAAATGAATTCAGAATGTATAAGTTATTACACAGTGAATGCAAGTACTATACTAAGCAAATGAATAAAGAAATAGCCAATATGAAACACCCTTGACACAAGAAATATACATTGTATGATTGTGATTGTGAATACCATATACAAGTATAAGAGGATGATATCAACTGGCAACAAACAGACTCAAATCATTCATATTATGGAATCTTTTATCTATATAGAATCAACAACTGTACTTATTGCAAAAAGAAAGATAAAGAAGACAAAGAATCACTGAGTTCACAGAATGTTGAAAATTCAGAGCATCTGAACCACAATGTTATTCATTGAGCATTTTGTATGAAAGAAGATTGTTCTATACACCACAGTGGGAAGTAGACTGACCAGTGGGATCATGAATTTCACATTTGATTTGATTTGATTTGGTTTCAGTCCATTTCTTGGCATTATTTTAGTGAGATCAGAATCAGAATGGGAGTGTAAAGTGACTAGAATTATCAAAATATGAGTGAAATGGGACTAAAAAATCTTGATATTCCATGTAAAGTGACTGACTATCAAAATCAGAACATGATCTGGGACTGATCATGATTTTGACTCAAGTTTGGTCCCATTCTGATGATTATATAATACATCAATCTGATGATATGATTGGTGGAGATATTACCCCTATCTTGCTTAGTGCTGCTGCTAATCTACCTGCTGCTGCCAATCTACCCACCGCTGCCAATCTACCCGCCGCTGCCAATCTACCTACCACTGCCAATCTATCTATCACTGCTAATCTATCGCTGCTAATCTATCGCTGCTAATCTATCGCTGCCAACCTATCTACTGCTGCCAACCTACCTACCGCTGCCAACCTATCTATCACTGCTAATCTATCACTGCTAATCTATTGCTGCTAATCTATCGCTGCTAATCTATTGCTGCTAATCTATCGCTGCTAATCTATCGCCGCCAACCTATCTACCGCTGCCAACCTACCTACTGCTGCCAACCTATCTATTGCTGCCAACCTATATAGGGTAAATCATGGTCCCATTTGGTCCCATTTTGTAAAATGGGACCAAATGGGACCAGGATCACTAATTTATTAGTAAAACATGATCTGGGACTAGATTTATAATATAAACAGTGTAAAGTGACTAATTTGCTAAACACTATATGGGACCAGGACTAAGATATCTAATAATGGGACTGAGGAAAAATTTGGTCCCAGTCCCATGCATGGTCACACAGCCAGTCTAGTTCTTATTCAATAAGCTCTGACTTGTGCTGCAGGTTTATAACATTGTAGAATAAGAGTAAGAAGTATAAGAAATATAAAATTAATTGTGATCAAGAAGATAAGCTTCTTGATTCTAAGGGTAATGAGTGTGTTTAAATACATCTTGAGATACATGAGAATAGCTCAGATAGCTCTTATCAAGATAGCTATTAGAGTGAGAATAGCTGTGATCACTTCACTCACTCAAGTGATCTGAGTGATCAAGATGATCCACTATATCACATAATCTGTTGTTTTTATTGACTAACTGAATCTTCTCTTTTCCAACTACTAGTTTGCATACTCTCTTTTATTTAGTTGCTTCTTGTTCAATGGCTTTCAGAGTTGTGCTGTAGGTTTGTAACAGACCTTCATACATGGAACTGGTATAAAATAGAATATAAAAAATTAACAAAAATAATACACAGGGATATTTATGATATAAAATGAATGGAATTGAAATTAAACCTGAAAATTCTGATGGTGAAGATGATGTATAAAAAGAAGATTTAAGATCTAAATTATGATGTCTAGAGCTGAAATTCATTTAAGTCATGAATGAAGCAACCAAAAGCAAAAGAATAAAAAGAGTATGTAATCAAAAATCAAAAACCAGAGCTGGACGCACCAGCGGGGGAATAATGTATGGTATTTGTTATGTATACAAGGAAGGAAATGCATGTTGAAAACGAGAAAAAAAAAATCAAAAGGGATATAGTAAGCCGGAAATTAATATTGACAAAGAAGACTGATTAAAAGAAAAGGAGCAAAAAGTACCCCCTGGAGTGGCACAAACTGTAATGTGGAAATGATATAAAATTCCCCACTCCGTCCACTTCGGCATCCACATGTACGTGACCAGCGGTGTGCGCAAGTACCGTACAATTATATACCTGGGAATCTGCCATCAAGGAAAAGAGTAAAAGGTTCAAAACGAACCAAATTTCGTTATCGCGGCAATCTACCGTGCTCTTTCTCGTTCGGTTCAAAGACATGGGCCTCTAACCTGTGTGTAAGCCTTGCGCAGAATGCATCGACGTACGTCGTCCAGAGATGCGCAACGAAGTACACAATGCAGATCCATATGGGGATCGCAATAGCAAAGACAACAGGACCGCCGCGCGGCAACCAGGGCGGCGGAACGACTTCACCGTCCTTATTCTTCGTAGGTTCCCACGGCTGGCCGGAGATGCCATAGATCATCCAGGTCAGGACGACGCGGAGGAGGGTGCCGTGGCAGAGGTATACAGCGAAGCTGTTGCGGCCGAGGAAGAGGAAGAGGCGTTTTGAGAGGATGGATTTGGTGGTTGGGGACAGGAAGATGGCAAAGACGATCAGATCGAGGCCTAGAGCGGAGAAGCGTTTGCCGAGGTTGACACCGCTGGGGAAAATGGTTTGGCCAATTTGAAGAAGAAATTGAGACCAGTCTGCGTATTCTGGTTGTTCACCGGGGAAAGAGGCAAGGGAGAGGCCTAGGATAGCGATTGTGACGCTGAAGATGCGACGGGAAGAGGTAAGGGTGGAGACGTACATCTGGAAAGATTGATCGTTTGCGAGATCGGAGAGGAACATGCCGACGAAGAGTTGTTGGCCGAAGGTTTCTGTATAGTAAGTTTTGTGTTAAACTCCTGCATCAATGATGATTTTATTTTATTTTTGTGTTGTTTTATTCTTAGGTGGTTATTTCAAACACTAACCTGTATCGGGCCCTGGGTGCTGCCAGAAGTACATAAACATAATGGAGTATACCATCATCCGGTACCGGTACTGCATATACATCGTGCCACAGAGCACGACATAAATAATCATGGAGCCCTTAAGCAGTGGCAGCAGTGCCCACTGGTGGTCATCGTAGTCCATGTGTCCATTTGTCCAAGTGCTTCTGAAGACGCGGAACAGGCGCATGATTTCCTTCAAAAGCGAGTCCTCCACCACAGGGCTCGCAAACCGAATCCAATCCGAATCCGCCCTATTACCAACTGTGAAACCGCCCAGCTGCGCTACGGCCCAGGCAAGAACCATGGCAATTGTTGCAGGAAGTATAAGACGAGGTGGGCGGCGGAATGCGCTCTTGGAAATGGAGGAGAACGCTGCGGTATAGTTTCCCGCACGGGACAGTTGCAACGGCTTAAGGGCGCAGACGTACCCGGTCAGGAAGGCAAAGATAGTGACGCCAATTCTGCCCTGCCAGGGGATGCGCAGAATGGGGAGCTGGAGCAATCGGGGGGGTGTATCCTTGCCATTCGGGGAGAATAGGCCGTAGTCCCAGGCTCGGGCTAGGTGGGTGAGAATGACGAGGACGGAAGCGATCCCGCGCAAACCCTATAGATAAATAGACAGATACTTGTTTAGTCAATGCCGATATCTAGGACAAGACGTAAAGGAGAATCGCAGAGGAAATACAATTTGTGATTCTCGAATGGGGTCTTGTTGGGTTTGCGCCTCACGTAACCGCCGAGGTCCAAGATAAACTGGGCGTTGAAGTGATAACACAGTGATAACTCACATCTAACCATTTCACACTCCGCCCATTATTGTCGCTTCCGCCCTCGAAGAGGGAGCAAACGGATCTCCAGGGAGCCGCCAGGAGTGGGAAGGAAGCGAACATTTACCTGAAACGCTGCAGAAAAGCGGCAAAAGACCAAAAAAAAAAAAAAAAAAAAAGGGACTCAAAACGCAGCAAAAGTCGAGCGGGATGCAATCATCCAGATGACGAATGAAAACGCCTGCAAACCCAGCAGGTGTCAATCAGGTTTGAGTTGTGAGACGGGAAGAGTAGGAAATATATAAGGGAGTAAAGGATCGGAATATGGATTGACAGATTGACTGTAGCCAACCGTGCCATGCAACGAATGAGTTACGAAATAACGTGTGCTATTTTAACGAGAGAGGCAGAATAAAAAATGATTCTGACCACGGCCAAGCCAGCCAGAGAGCGAGAGACAGATAGAGACGGCGACCATGGGAAGAGAAAGAAAGGGAATGAAGGAAAAAATTCGATGAATGATGGAACTTGCCCAAGACCCCGTGGAGTGGAAACAACTCCGCCCGCCGACCCACTACCCAAATCGCATCCATGCTGCCAGACGCACCAGAGAGCACGTCAAGGGGTTGGGGATGGCTTACACTCCGCCGCCCAGAACACGATATTAAAATCGGCAGGCCATTGTCAGCCGAATCCATGGGTGGATATGCTGCCATCCGTGTCAATGTAGGCGGACGGAGATTTGGGCATATATCAAAAAGTCTGGAACTTTTTACACCCTCACTCTACTAGTCGGTGTAAGTCAACTTTTGTCTATTCGTAGATGAATCTCCTCCTGCCAGCCGCTGTTTTGTTGCCCCCCAAATTATACGCCGCCTGTCTGTGCGGGAGTTATTACTGGCATCGATGCTTCAAGGAAATCAGAACTCCTCGTCACCGAAAAAAAGAGAACGGGATCCACAAGAAATACCAAGAGCTCGGTCCCACACTGAGAGCCAAACATCCAGCTATTTTAGCCCTGCCAAGGTTGACAATGGAAGCTAGCCAGGGGATCCACATGAACTCAAGGTCCGGGATACGATTCAGGGACTTGGCAACAAGAATGACACAACATGAAGAAGATACATGGTCAAAATTGCCAGAAAACCCTCTTCCTAGCTCTCCTTCCAAACAATAGACACAATGGTGCTGGATATGTGATCCCATCAGATCCATCTTACCACATAGGAACAGGAACACCCTCATGCTTCACAAGAGCCCGCAGGGCGTTTCGATATGAGCATGACGAATGTCAAGCTTCTTTCACAAAGTCTTCTACAAAGAGCCATACGCAGGAGACAGCAGGTTTACCAAACAACGCCAAACAATAATATAATGTACTTCTTTCTGTATGGGCTATGCAGGGTCAGTGTCCTCCTGCTCGTCTATTAAGTTTCGTTCCAGCGTCGATCAGCACACAGCCGGTCACATACTGGGTACAAAGTTACAACACAACCTGATGTTTGGCAGCTTCACACTGTCGATATTGCGATGCGTACGGCGAATTGGCCCATTCATAGAAAATCAGCCAGGTAACTCCAGAGGGAGTTGAGACTAACGGCCCACCGCCAGAAATCCTTCGCATTTGCCAGCTGCAAAACATGCAGGTGCGAGATGGAGAGATACACAGAGCACGGAGGAAGACTACGGCTGTTCCTGATTCTTCGGAGGATTGGGGTATGATTCCTGACCAGCAATCTCATCTATGAGGACCGATGTTTGCCAATATTTATGGCCTGGCACTGTCCTTCTGGAGGCTGGAAAACCAAGCACTGTTCAAAAGGAATGCTGGTGATAAATTTGTCTCAAGAATAATAAAAGCAGGCAACAAATCTCGACACCGCCTAGCCAAGACCTCCATCCGGGTGCCCGACAAGCATTGTGGCCTTTAAGCTGACATCCAACGAGGAATCTGCATAACTAGAGTGTCGATATCCCAATCATGCTCCATTTTATGCTCTGCTTGCCAGTGCTTGGCCACATCCCGAGCAATTTCTCCACATTAAATCCACACTCTTCGTCCAACAATCGGCCGCCAGGCCTTCAAGAACCAAGGGTACTTGGAAAACCCTGGCATATCCCCGCTGATTACATAATTACATAACCGGGTCTTGGCCAAAAGCAAACATTGACCGTTCCCCATCCGTTCTTGGCGTCCTTGGCAACAAACCGACCTCCGCCGCCAAGAGACCGCTAAAAAAGCCACCGTCAACGCTCCCTGTCATGCACAGACCTGGCGAAGCCGGCGTCGATTTGGCGGCATTGGAAACGATTCAGGGGGTGGATCCACACACCGTGAACTCACACTAGAAATGTGGGGCTTGCATGTGGCACAGGATGCCAGAAGGTTCAACGAGACGGTCATAAATATCTGGGCAGGGAGGGGTAGTCTGCTATATGACATATACTGGTACGCCAGATAGACAGGTGTGGCCATCAAGATCTTGGATCTTTTGTTTACCCGGAACGACAGCTTAGGATTGGGCTGCGGATCAGCAATTGTCAGATTTGAGACAACAGGGGTCAGGGAGCTTACGCATGCAGGGGGTCGATATGACATAATAGTTCAATAGCGATACAACTATGTCGGCCTGTGTGCCTCCAGATAGAAAGAAATTGCTGTCTTTCTTGACAAATGGCAACGGGGATCAGCACCTGATTTTTCTCTGAGTTGCTCGCATGGAAAACGGCCAATCCAAGACACGAATTCAAAGCCGTGCATAGTATGTCTTGATGGTAGAATAAATACCATTCCTTCATGCTAACGAGTTCTTCGAATAATAACCACTAGTCATATCAGCTTTCTAACACTCCCACCTTGGGGAGGGGGATGTCGGATTGGGTGATTCCCAACCCCCCCTCTAAACCACCATGGTGGTGATAGAGCTCTTTTGTCCCAGTGGCCTAATAGAAGACAGGTAGATAACAACCCCCATTTCTTCAAGCGGAACCGAATGCACTTGTATTTCCAGAAACTTTTTCTCAAGGCCTCCTATATATAGCCAAGCTATCATTGCAGTCGATATGGAAAGGAAAATTGACTGGCTTTATAGCCATCAGAGTTCCATCCGTGACTACTTACATTGGTGTTCACATGGCTAGAAAAATACATGACACTTAACACTACAGCCACCATGCCAGTGCTGCTGCTACGATCCCACATGAAAGATACAACCCAAATCTCCCGCCCACCAACACTTCCTTCATTCTCTATTTTCCATTATTATACAACAACGTTCTCAATAGCCGGACACAAACCCGCCTTCCCACAACTCCCCTTCTCTTCCAGTCTCCCAGCCGCCTCCCGAATGGAGCCTTTTCAAAAGCCCATTTAAAAAAAAAAAAAAAAAAAGTCCTGAAGTTACGTTCAAGCAAGTATCAATCCTTGCCTGAAATTGCATGAGCCAAGCGCTTGGATAGGGGCCAAGTGCAGGCTCACACATGATCAGATCATAAGCTCGTAACTCGCCACTCAAAGGCAACGAAAATTCATTGGATCCTCCACACCCCTCAGAGGGAACCAAGACTGGACTGGAGGCAAGCAGAATATCCTTGGCGTTGAGGGGTTGTGCAGGCGTGCATCAAGCACGGGGTTAGCATGTTTGAGAAGGGGGATGAGAGGTTACATACATCCTGTACATACACACACACACACATATACATATAAAGGTTAAACAAACGTCTCCATCTCCATCTTCATTACTAACTATTAATGATACTAGCATCCTCTCTGGATTACATCGTAGAAAACTCCCATACACTCATTATTTAACATGTGAAAGAAAGAGAAAAAACGCCAAGACCATAAGAAAGAAGAAAACCTTCCTATTCGCTGAGCGTCCCTTCTCTTCAAAGAGCCGCAGATTACTTATTAACTTATATCAGTTTTCAACAAAATGCATATATACGGTACGTCGCGTACATGCACATGCACATGCACATGTACCTACAGTACAATGGGTAAATAAATATACATGTGGTGATTATGTCTCCACATTCCCGCTCTGGCACCAGAGCGGACACAATTGTTTATAAAACAAGACTGGTGGGGGTAAATTGAGAGCCGGGCAAAGGCGAAAGAAATGAAATGAAACGAAGTGAAAAAAAAAAAAAGAAAAAGAAAAGAAAAGAAAGAAAAAGAGAAGTGAAAAAGAAGAGCTGACAAATGAAACATATAACTATTTTGTCAATTCTTATCGGAAGATGAAATTCTGAGCGAGCGTTAAGCAGCGGTGGTAGGGCGCTGGAACTCCTCTGCTTAACTTCCAATTTCAACTAAATTTTTTATTCAGTTTTTTCCTTTTTGGAAAAAAAAATTCTTAATTGGATTGGATTGGATTGGATGGTCTTTGCACGGTCTTATCTTTTTGTGGGGGAAAAAAAAGACAAGGAAAAGAGAAATATCTTCGCGCTGCCATCTTTGCGTTGACCGAGCCCATTGTTTTGGATATTTTTTTGTGCCTAACCACCCCTTCCCCAAAGCCCATTTCCCTTCCCCTTTCCGTTATAGAAAGGAGAGAAAGAGAAAATAAAAACAAGGCCGGGGAGGGGATTTTACAGGACAAGTTTTCTAGATTGCTTATTGCAAATGGGGGTATATAAAAATATTCAAAACATTAGAAATTAAAAAGGGGGTTGGGGGGTAGGTAATGTGGGTAGTAGGTTGGGGAAGGGAATAGAGGTAAGGGTGGTAGGATGAAATAATGCACACAGACACATACTTACGTGTTTACACAGTGGCCTGCGAAAATAGAGCGAAGAAAAAGAGACAACCGAACGAGTACAGGAGAGGGGGGGAATGGAAGGTGATGAGAGGGAGAGACCTGGGAGGAAAAATGACGAGGATGATGATAATGACGATGATGATGATGGATGGATGGATGGATGGATGAATTTCGCGGAACGCTTCACTAACAAAGGAAATAAAATGATATAAAAAACATGGGGGAAAATGATACACAGATAAAAAAAGAAATTTTTGGCATCTTCGATTTAGCAACGACTCGCGCTTGCAAATGCTAGATTTGGAAAAAGTTTTCATCCATCCGGTTAAGGGGAAAGACAGATGTGAATTAGAAAATAAGAGGAAAATAAATTTCAAATACACGACATACGGGACAAGTGAGGCTTTTTAGCCGTTTTTTTTTCAAGCCTGATTTTAATACCGGGTGATATTTGCTACATGCCCAAATGGGGAGCATCCCCAATCGCATGTAGGTACTCCCAAAATAGTTGGGGGCCGGGGGGCGGGGGGCCGCGTATCAATATAATGGTTATTATCGAACGTGATATTATGGATGACGAGGTTGTTTGACGTATGATTTATTTGTTGAAACTTGATAAGCTTCCGCGCCTGGATCACCTCGCACCTGAAAGCGAAAGGAACAGGGAAGGCGTTGCTTTGCGCTGTTAGCTAAATCTGAGCCTTTCAAAACACTCCATTGTACCCTGCTGATGGCTGCTGAACAAAGTGCTCATGTTGGCTGTAGGCATTTTCATCTGGACGGCGATGATAAGCTTGCGGGAATTGGGCACTGGAGGGCGGCGTTGGGGTAACACTCGGGACTGATTTTGGAATGTTGGAATTTCCGGCGCCAGCGAAGGCCTCGTTTTCCGGAGTGATAGGCGGCGTTAAGTATCCATTGGGCATTGTCGACGGATACTGGGGCTTTTGGGGTGTAGCAAGCCCAATCTCTCCATTGTACGGTTTAAGCTGTTCAGAAGGAGTATCCGCGGCGGGGGTTGGTGGAGTGTAGGCCTTAGGTATCGAGGCTTGGTGTGCAAGGAATTGCTCCAGAAGTCTCGATACCCGTGAATAACGTGCGGACAAATATTTCCTATACAGAACCTGCGATGGCTGGACCAAGTGCTGAGACAAGTTCACTAGTGTTAGAGAATCATAATGAGAAGCCCAGTCCCCATTTCTGGGTTGAGAACGGTTCAGAACGCATCGAGCGAGAGCCAGCGAAGCCCGAGCGAGATCCGACGACAGTTTCGAAACAAAATCCCTATGGAAAAGGGATATTTCCAAAATGTAAAGAGAAAGATGTTCCACCTCTGGGTCATAGGGAGTGTCCGCAACTGCAAGCTGCAGGAAGCTGTCAACAGTGGGATGGCCTATTGCCCAACCTAGAGTTTGGAGAACATGCCATTCCATTTGAACAAACATGTCGTCGTCATATTGAGAACAGCACATAGTTTTGAGCTCCTTAACTGTTGGGACACGATCCTTCTTATCGCCATACTTTGCCGCAATGAGCAAGGCTGCACAGCCAACTAACTGATAATGTTTTTTGTAAACAACACGTTTAGAACAATACCGATCTAACAAGTTCACAGTAAGAAATAGGGTCGACGGCAGGAGTTGAAAGGCAGTATGTGCTTCTATGAGGAAGTCGAGGAGATAGGGACGCATGAACCATTGGATCTCGGTCTGGATATCGATCGAATCAACATCCGGCAGAGTCGAGGACTATTCTTAGTTAGCCAGAGCATGGGATAAAGGGGTGAGAGGATAAACAAAAGGAGTATCATGAGACGAACATCCATCGCGAGCATGTGTGCTAAAATATCATCCTGGTATTCATCGCTTACTTGCTTTGACAACTCATCAGCAATCGCAAATTGACGTTCACGAGCGATCAATTTTGCATGCTCCTTTGGACCTAGCCTGGGGCCGGGATACTCTGGTTCAAATGATTCCACAAAATAAGAGTCACACGGCTGGAAGGAAGACGCGGGGCGGTTTTGGTAAGCCATATTGATAACGTTTAGGGTAAAATCGAAAAGGGTTGGAGGCCACTTCGAAAAGTTTCCACGTTTTATTTGTCGCAAAAGAGAGGACCTGGAATATAACCCGTATATCTCAAAAGTTGAAAAAAGAAACGACGGAAGTTAAAAGAGAGTAACTGTCGTGTATCAAGATGGATGGTAAGAGATTGAAAATTAGTTGGTGTGAAATATTAAAGAGAGTTATGTGTCGATAATAATCGGCACGTTTTAAGGTGAAGAGGTCAGTCGACCAAATATAAAATAAAACTGAGAGTAAAAGCTAGAAAGACGTACTTATGTCAGCAGCAATCCATCTCGGGCGTAAGCCTTGTGTAGGAGATTTTACAGGACAATCTTAAGTGGAGGGGAAATGAATGAGGGAAGGGGGAGTTATACCCAGTTTGACGTTGAGAAAGAAGGGCAAATGATCACCCTTTCTTCAGCAGCAGTCGCGTCATCTATTCTGGAACTCGAGTAAAAGCTAAATTCGAAAATCGATGGCAAAGGCCAGGTGAACGACGAGTCAACGTCTCCACCTGTCAAGCCTACAAGTTAAGCAGCTAGAAGGCCGATGTGGAAAAACGAAATTTCCACAAAGTGCAATGATGCACAAGTCTAGGGGCAAAAGTCAATTGTGTTCAATATGCTCCAGAAGGGTCCTGGCCCTTTCTGGAGTGAGGTAGAAATAAAAGGGGCCAATTGGGAACAGCGGGGACCGGAGCGTACCTTCGCAGGTTTGCCTCACTTGGGCGTGGATGTGTCCGCGGTATGTAAGCAATCCTTGCGGAACGCAATCAGAGCGTCAACGGCTTAGATATTGAGATCTAATTTTTATTTATAAAATGTTAGCTGTTAGCATAGTATTCGACCAGGCTCCAAATCAGACAACGTTGAAAGGTAAAACTAGACTTAGGGTTGGTTGATGGGAACAGAAGTGACGAATTGAGATGTGTCCGAAAGTCCACTGTTGGATATGAGTATCATCGAGAAAGCCCAGCCCCCATGCCCCTATATGCATGCATTGATCAAGGCATATGAAAGTCTGGGCTATTTAACATCGGATGCAATTTTTTCCCCTGTGGATGAGCCACAACCACCAGACTTTTTTTCTGTCGACCATTCGCTTTCCCTAACCGATATACAACGGTAAATGATGTCCTTTCCGAGTCGACCAGCTTTCGAAACGGGAACAAACCGACCGACACACCTGCCCTCGAGCTAGGAGCATGCTGTAGGCTAGACATGTATTCGGTTTTTTTTCTTTTTTTGCGTCCAATCTGATGATTACTTGCCAAAGGACAATTGGAGTGGACTGTAGACGTACGTGGGCAGGGAGGAAAGGACGGACGTACACGAGGGATCGGGCATTGGCCTCGTTGGTAGTAGACTCGAGGGGAGAGTGGTTGGAGTGTGGTAGACAGGGAGCAAGATATAAAAAAAAATTTTACAATTGATTCAGCTTACCTTTCGCAGAAGAAAAAGAGTCCTCGAGTAGACGGTCCAAGGAAAAATTTTTTTGCTCTTTTTTTGCTCCTTTTGTTCTTTTTGTTTTTTTTATCCTTTTTATAAAAATTGGTCTCACTCTCTTCTTCCTTTCTAACTAAGTGAGGTAGTTGGCAATCAAAGAACCGTCAACGTCACGATTGGAGAGAGACACCGTCGAAAAAAATGGGGAAGGATGGTAGAGGATGGAGGGGAGCGAGGGCGAATAAAAGGAGACGGTGCGGGAGGAAGAAGAGGGAGCGGAGTCGAGAATCGAAGGCCAGGAAGACGGACCCACGAAAGAAAAAAAGGCTCGACACGAGAGGACGGTTTTAGGAGAAACGGAAGAAAGGTGGGAGACGACGAAGTTGACTGGATGACAGCCAACGATCCTAGCCAGCCACACCAGACAGACCAGATTCCCCAGATTTCTCTCCTGGGAGTTACAGGTTAACGAGGGGAGGAGAGGAGGAGAGGAGGAAGGGCTCTCTCCAGAGGGAGGGAGAGAGAGAGAAAGGAGGAGGAGAGATGAGGGAGAGAGAGAGAAATGATGGAGATGAGACACGGAGGAGAAGAGGAAGAAGATGGGAGGAGGAGGAGGAGCAGGAGGAGGAGAAGAAATAGAAGACGAAACCGACAGAGTCAGGTACGGGCTTACAGTAAGGAATCGTTACCTGCAGGCCCCGTACCTCAGGCCCGGCTAGCTCGAAACGGGCTCCGGAGGCGGTTTGGGGAGGCTCAACCGACGCTGGCCTACGCTGGGTGATTGGCCTGGCTGCTGCGGAGGCTGTATTTGGTCACGAGAGTGTACTGTACTGTATCTATATGTATGTATGTATGTACGTACTGTATAGTACGGACTATCAGCTGTATGTAATACATACAGCCTCGCTCAACTCTCGACAGTTACTTATAACAATCACCCCCCAAGTATCGATTGTTGGTGAGGTCAGGTTCCCTTCGATTCGATCCCGGTCTCATTCTCGTTCTCATTCTCATTCTCATCTCGCCTCCCTCTGTCCCATCCTGTCCCGTCCCCGTCTCTCTGTCCTGTCCGTATCCCATTTCACGTCCCAGTTCACTGGCTGGTTCCTGGTTCCGATTTTGGGTTTTGGGTTTAGTTTTGTCGCATCGCGTCTCAAAGTTTGGACCCTTGTAGCCTGGTATGATTTCCTCGAAGCAAGCAGTTGATCTAGCTATCTATCTTGGGATTATTGGAGGTTCTCATTGGAGAGGCCACGGGCTCGCAATCCATGTCAATGGTTTTTTCCCCGTATTCACCGGTAGTTAGACATCGCGTTCAAACCAAACGCGCCCGCTCCACTGCACGACTTCCCACACAAGTTGCCAATCCTGGCATCGTTTCTTGAAACAAGAGCACCAGTTTAAATAATCCATTAGTCTCCAATCGGTATTTAAAATCAATACTTTAAGTCACCCCTCAAAAATCTCCAAGAAACAAGGCTGTCGCATCATCACCGAAGGACGTCAAACACTTTCATTGCGTACAGCAGCAGGCAAATAAATGTAGCAGACCCTGTACCAGAAATCTACAGATTAACGTCCTGTCTTCTGTCCATAATTCGCTCGGTCAGCAGAACCCTAGGGCTCGTCATCGACTCTCCAGAACAAAAATTATGGATGGAAGTGGGAATGGTTCCTTGCTTTCGTCCAGCCGTCGATCGTGCGGCCCCAGTGGAATCCAGGGTTCCTTGGCCTAGCGCGCAAAAGATTAAAGGGTCGAATAATGAGCTGACCTGGCGATTCCACGGGAGCTTTGAAGGTACTACCGAGCCTGCCCAGTTTTTATGAATGCGGGGCTCTTTGGTCGTTATAATATTTGTCCCCAGCTCAAGCTACTCTACATTCTCGTGCTGCTATTACTTTTCTGACCAAAATATCATAACTTTGGGATATATTTTAGGCTTTTCTGGTAGATAGGCACCCGTACCCTGCAGCGTAAGTTAACCACAGAACGGTTGCATAACGCATCTCACAAAAATCCTGCTTCCAGAAAAATAGAAAGAAAGCAGTGAAAGGAATGAAGGACAAGGGGAATAAAAAGAGGAAGAAGAAAGAAAGGAAAACCCTCAAATGAATCTTCGTCGAATATGTCCCGATGCGGCGAGGCCTGTGGCATATTGCCGCAGTTTCCTGAGCTAAAATACCTAAGAACCCAACCAACTCCAAGGCAATCCTCACCCTAACCTTTAGTTGTCTCGATTGTATGGTTATGTTAAGTTAAACACCCAATTGATTAAACCAAATAACTCACTCCTTTCTTCCGAATAACAGAACATTAACACACATGTCCAAGCCAAAAAAAAGAAAGAAAGAAAGCGATGTGTGGGAGGGGATATTAAAACAAATTAAAACCATCTTCGAAGCTGAAAAACACCCATAACATCATTACTGGGCAAGGAGTATGATGCAGAATTCAGCTTCAAAAGGGGGTCAGCGGTCCGCCCACCATAAAAAAAGGAGAACATCCCCTCCTGGGACTGGGAAACAGCGAGAAGAGAGGAGAGAACTCGTTAGAGGACATAAAGAACTGCCTATCGACTATGGCAAATCTGCTAGTTTATATCGATCTATTAAAATTTCCAAGTCACCACACTTTTCTACCACATTGCAAGCAAGAAAAGATGTACAGTAGTACAGTATCTGCATACATATATTTAATTTTCTTCCCTCATCTCTTCTATCAAGGAGATAGTTGGAAGAAGGGAACAATCTGCACTTCTCAATGCATAACTAGTTCAAGCTGATCATGGATAAGAAGAATTTAATTTCATATATATATGTATGCGGTGGAAATGTAACAGTGAGAATTTTGTAAGTTACCTGTTCTGTATTATATTAAACTACAATACGGCAATAACTGACAAAGATTACCCCAATGCAAAAGCTTAAGGAATACTTTTGCTACATCGGTCAATAGTAATCTTGGTCCATGAACAGAGTAATTATTGATTGTTGTCTGCACAGCTGTTTCTCTCTACATTAATAATCACAATGGAATTACGAATACCGGGGACAAATAACTCCAACGCGTGGGCTCAAATTGTGGTTCGACTTAGGCCAATAATGCACTCAGACCAATGCAAAGATCAACTAAGTTCTAGGGATATCTGGGTAATCCCTAAGAGTTAAATCACCCCTAATGTCCTCACTTGGCTAGTTAAATTACTTGCCGTCTCTTCAGCAGTATCCTGCACACTCTCCATGTAATGAATACTTTTCGTGTATTGATAAATCTGGTTGCTTTTATTATCATATGCTGTGCCAGAGTTATATTCGGAATGGAGCCGTTTGAATTGAGCTCGCAGCTATGAAAAAGAATAGCACATCCGATATCCTAGGTAGACCCCATTCTAAGTTATTTTCTATTCCTCTCTTATTGAGCCTTCAAAATAAACCGGAAGAGATCAAATTCCTACTACCTTGGCAGCAAAATCAGAGAAAACTGAAAAAACCTCACTGTCCGGCGAAAGAAGCACAAGAGGTTATCTATCAATCCTATCACATATACAACCACACCACAAACAGATGCAGAGAAGTTGAAGGATTGTCTATTTCGGGCGCGCTGAAGTAGATTCTAGAATGCCATCCTGAGTTCATGCGGATTCTGTAAGCCCAGAAGTCAATGCAAATTGCGAAACCGATGCAAGCAGCAGGCCGTGTAGACATGAAAGGAATCCTGCATATGCGCCTAGCAGACAAACACTCGGGGTTCGGAGCATACAGTTTTAAGCCTTGTTCTTTACAGTACTACTTCTCAGAAAGATAATCAACTATGCTGATAGCATAATACATCATCGTCTTAAGACTGAGTGCATGGTGACGGAGAGCCCACATCGAAACGTATATATACAGTACCTCAGTACGTTATCCCAATATATAACTACTCTATTTGGTACCTACAAAACTATGTTATACATGAAGTTTTCAGGTTTTAGGCAAGTATTTGTGGCAAGTGTGACAAACAAACTTACACCTGTGCATTTACTATCAGCAATCAATCTCCTTTTCTTTCAATATCCTATGCAACCAGTTAGCAGCTTCGTCTTTTGGTTCACAATATCCCATCTCTGGTTCGCTAGCAGGAGTTAAGTTAAATGTTAACTATGCAATGATGAAGTTACAAACTTTGTCCACCCAACAGCTATGAGGAACATGCAGTTTTGAAACAGAGTAGACAAAGCTGAAGAAGGAGCCCAAAATACCCTGTGCTCAATAAATATTCAGGCGTTAAATATCTGGACATAGATGTACAATGTACTTGCTGCAGTTTCAAGCCGATGCAGTTAGATTGAACCATTGGATATACGGTACACAAAGAAACTCTGAAACATGAGATCGGGTTGTGGGGATGTAATTTGAACGTCCAAGGAACAAATAATTAGTTAAACTCGTTAAACTCTGTATGGGACAGCTCCATAGCTAACCGATACCATCAATGCTGGAAGCAACAAAGCTTCTCGGGGCAGAAAAAAGCATGAATTCAATGGGTCCGAAGATATAAATATCCCCGCGAGGTTACCCCGGGTTTTTCGATGCTCTATGTATTTTATGCCCGGGATTATGGTCGCACAAAGCACAAGCACGAAAAATGAATGAACCTACTTATCCATCCGCTGACGGCGAAACAGCCCTTCTGAAACTGCGGTTTATCGTTGCTGCTCAAGTTGCTTTATCAGTAGCTTCTCCGCTTGTTCAATATTGATTGTTGAGTTATCGCAACTGCCTCATGCCGATTCAATACATCTCATTGGCGCAACCATACATACTGTACGGAACATTACTCAGGTACCGTACGGACCGGCCGATAGTAACAACTTAATTCAAATAAGCTATGGGGTTTGAACCCAAGAGTTGTTGTCTTCTACATCCGAAGAGAGTTGACCCTTTACTGCACAAAAATGGTGTCTGTAGAAAATGTATTTCCTATTCTTAAAGATCCTTCGTCAGCTGTGTCCTCGATTAGGCTCGGGCATGCGTTGCTTTTGGATTTGAATAATCAAGCCAGGGCCTACTCAGCCGGCGATGGAGCATATGCGTTCCCAGCCCATTTCATCACTGACAATATTGAGGCTCAAATCAGCCCAAGGGATTCGTGTGTGGATGGACGAAAAAAAAAACCCCACCCCCGTATGCATGAATAACCATTGCCATGGGATTGGTTTAAAAACTCCCACAAAGCACCCCTGGCATCCAAAAAACCTTCCAACCTTGTCCACTCATTCAAACACAATTTATTAATAATAAACCCCTCTCACAGATGTGAATCGGCTGGTTACAGTCGCGTTGCGTTGCGTTGCGTTGCGTTGTATTGTATTGCTTGTTCCAAATGACGTGCGTTGGCAAAGAAAGGAGGAAATCGTCAAGGAGTCTTGGGCAAGAGAATGCTAAAAGGAGGCTCAGCTTTATGGAATCCATTGCGTCAAATAGTGCGTCTGGCATCTGAGATCTGGCAGCAAATCAGAGGCTGGAGGAGGCCATTGAACTGGGAAACGCGAGATGCAAGGCCAGGGATGTTTGATATTTTACGACGAATCCCCGTACTGATAGTTACAGAACAATTCGTCCATCATCTCAACTTTCAAGCAAACCCTAAGCGCGACCAGATTCATCGATCGATGACACAGTATGTACAGTACAATCAATCTAAGCGCCCACGCCCCCTTGAGGAGTCCACGACTCCACATGCAGAGGGCTAGCTGAGTTGGAGTACACCTAAGTCTGTCCCCTGGCCAAGCTGATCCAAGGAAGCGATGCCGCCAAAGGAGCAAGGAGATTGTGCTGTACCCTGTGGTCTCTTGGCCACGGCTCAGAATGGATGAATCTTAAACCTGTCTGAGTGCTCTCTTCCTATTGCCGAAGAACTTCTCGCATTTTGCCCCCACGGTTTGAATTCTCCTTGACCGAAGGGGGATTTCACATCAAACCGGGGACTTCACACGCTTCTGTGCACTGAGGACTCGCCACTTCCCCCGCATAATATTGCTAACGAAAGTTCAACCTTCTAAGTCGGGTTAATGAATTGTTCATAAGTATGTCGACTTTGAGTCTCGATGCTTCGGTCTGGGCAAAGGTTTGTAGGGTACGGTGTACTGTACTCGTTCGATACGCCAACATCGTGGTTTCTAAAAATACACTGAACTCTGTGCAATGATACGGAGTAGTTGAAGTTAAGATAAATGAGCATATTCGTAAGCCCACGGATCGAAATATCGAAATCAAGATAAAATGAAAACGGTTGTCTGTTTCCAATTTCTGTCTGCTCGGATAAATAACATGATAGGTTGGCAGTTGAAAGCAAAAGAAACGCCAGATGGGCGTGTCATCACTCAAGACTAAGGGATGTAACGGAACGGATACGTATAGTACGAGCTCTGTTGCCAATGAAGCTGAGAAGCCTCCTAGCATTGTCTGGAATGGAGGGCAACAGAAACCGTTCGGCCTGGCTCCACGTCATTAGAGGACCGGGGAGCATGTGCTCGGTTACAAGGGATCCTTTACCTTGAAAGGTGAAAGAGGCTTCCAAGAAGGACAGTCCGTTGGAAGGACAAACTCCATCCTGTCGAGCAGCATATTCTGGATTATTGAAGTCTGGATTTCATCATTCCACATTTCCCTCAACAAGTTGTGGATGCTGGGCCAAAGCCTCTGGCAAAAAAATAAAAAAACTTTAAGCTATTATTATCTTCAAATCTTCTCCATCTTTCCTAAAATTCCTCAGAAGCAAAGCAAAATAAGGTTTGCAGGCCCTTGCTGAGCCGCAACAAAAATCTCAAATTTCCGAAGACATGCAACTTCTCCGCCTGGAGTTTTCAGTCAGTGAAACGTTGGACATGCCGATAATGAAGGGAAAAAACAAAAAACAAAGGTGGCTGGGCTGCTGCTGACAGGAGACCCTTGCTAAGGCAAGTCAGTCAGTCAAGCATTATGATATCTTCGACGAGAAATGTTTGAAACCATGGATACGTCGGTATTCCGAGCTCGAATGACGCGCTGATTGGTTATAGCGCGCGTGAAATTTGCAAAGAGTCGCGCTTATTATATCATATTTTATTTATTTTCTTGAAAAGATTTTAAATTTTAATTTTGTACAGTACATTTGCGAAGAACAAACGGCATCCAATTATGCCCTGTGTATATATTTTCTTGTGTGTGTTTCTTTGCCTTCCAGGGCTGCCATTTGACCTCTAATGGTGATTGAGTAGATCTGCAGGAATGGGCAGAGCTGGCAGTGATCAGCTGGAGCAGTTCTCCATGGAGGACAGGGGAAACAAACGGGTTGATACCAAGGGGAACAAACTGGGAAAGTCGAAGTGGTTCCCTTGATTGGATGGCTGCACACAGCAATTTCTTCGCGTCGTTTCCACCACGGCTATTTATTTTCGTGACTTTTGATATATGATATCATTATCATGACAGCCCAGCTAGGGATGAAATGAATACCGTTGTTCTGTACGGGACGCCGTTTACAATACCAATACCGTCATTATTACTGACTTAGTACCGTATATTTAGTCTTTGGTACTGTTCCTGTGCCTGAATAATTTACCACGGTTCCATTGAACTTTGTGAGATGAAAACTGAACTTTGATTTAAGCATTTTCTGCAATGATATCATGATCATTAATAAGGTGAGATATACTTTTAGTTCCTTATCTTTTCTGCTCTTGTGGTCATGGCTTCTTTATGCTTCCCAGTTCTACTTTTTTTGTTCCATTTCGTGGACTAGATCTAATCCTAACTCGCCAGGGTCGCGTGCTATTACGGAGGTTAGTTTGTGCTCTTCGCCATTTAATACGAGGTTACCAAAGGCGTGTATTATTGCATTGCGCATCTCCGTTCTGTATCAAATCACCACAATCCAGACCACATCCTGATAAACCAAGAATAACTGACAAACTCGCCGCCCCGGGCGACCAGACGAGATCAGGTAATTTCGTCATCATTCCCTGTAGTTCCGCTATCCCTCGGCAAGGAGACAAGCAACAACGTCAAAGTCAAAACTGTCGCGTTTGGCGTGAAACAGTCGAATGTTACATTTCTTGCCTAGCCGTGCTTTGCCTTGAACAAATGCATAAACCACAGTGCTTCCAGTCAATGGAAACTAGATCCATGCCGGATGCTTGCTCGCCTGATTGCGTGCTCACGACGTTTATACAGCAACTGTTGTTCACCTAGATTCCAATTATGCCGTCGATCTAGGTTCTACGAGAGAAAAAGAGAAAAAGAGAAAGTCATCAAGTTTGTTTGTTTTGAGGTCGAACAGTTGTGATTTTTTAGATCCGACTCACCGTCGAGCATAGAACAAGAGGGAAAAGTCTCCTGCCTGGGCTTCGAAGAAGGAACAAAAGAAAAACCTTCAAACCTTCCATTTCCATCTAGAAAATCGTCTGGCCAGGTTATCAAACCCATGAACTGGTCACTTTCGTTTTTTTATAACAATTTTTTTCTATAGCTTAACCGTCACTTCTTGGTCAAGAAAAAGGCTTAAGAAGACTAGATACCTGATAAAGAAAAGGCAGTGACTTGCTTTCCTAATAATTTAAAAATCTAGTAATGCACCTCTTTTCTGGCCAGTATCATGCATATCATTATCTAGCGATATGCCTGGTTGCCTTGGTTTGGGATCTTGGATCTTGTCTGACAGATGATGATCCTGCCTGAGCGGATGTCGGTGCGAAATGACGGTGTAAGTTTGTCTGCGTTGTGTGAGCGGGAGAGAGGTGCGTATGACAGTTTAATCTATGCCCGCCACCTCCTGTTGCCGTGCAGCTGGCGGATGGGGGTTGATTGCCTTTCGTTCGTCCCGTTGGCTCACAGCATGCATTAAGAACGTACGTCTGATCAATGGTGCAAGATAGATTTCGTTTCCTGGATAGATGGGCGTTTGGTCTAGAGCGGAGACTCTACGCAGAAATGGTATGCATATGCATATCGCACCCTATTGGGGAAAGTCAAGAGGCTGTGTTCTCCGGATCGATGGCTGATGGCTTTTATTTATCTCCGTGAGGTCGATGATGAGCTGTCAGTTGCTAGTCCTTTGAGTAGCTGATTGCATTAAAACCTCCAACCCAAACCCTGCTGAGGGACATCGAGTAGCTGCTATACAGATCTGTACTCTCCGTCAACAAGGAGACATTCCGATGAACAGTCACCAGCTTCCAGATTTCCCCGGTTTGGTGCTGTTCAATATTTGGGTTTGTCAGCAACGCCCAGATGAACTAGGTCAAATTAAAACTAGTGCCATCTGATAGCAAGATTAACTCTCCGCCAATCAATGTGCGGCTCCGCGCGCAACATCAGACCTTGCCAGCCTCCCCTTTTGTTTCTTCTGCTCTCCTCACCATGCCCGGCTACTTCTGGCTTATTCTCCGTTGTAGAGGACTATTCCCGAAATCTTGACACATCTTTGGCATCAACTCTCGCGCCTGGCAACTTCCAGCTCGCAGGACTAGAGAGGGAGATTGTCGGCGGCTGCTCCGTACCCCCTATCAACTCAGGGACATCGACTCATCTCCCATGAGCTGCTTCTTAACTCGCTAACCCCTGACTGAATCCCTCTGACGTGGCAAGTCCTCAATGGCGTCCGCAGAGTCTGCATAACCCTTAATATACGAAACTTTAATCTCTTCGTTCATCTCCAGTCTCAAGAACAAGTAACCATCACCAACCCCGTCATCTTCACCCTCAAAACCCTGCATGCCCTTTGCAGAATCGTGCCATGAGCCGCTTGCCGGCATGACTGTTTTCTTTTAATTGCTTTTGACACAATGATTTCTCTGGGCTCCTCTTCCGATGGAAACCCACGGACCACTCGATGATAGCATTCCAGCCGTCTCTCCGCCACCGTCAGACAGATCACAATATTTCGAAAACAGGCAACGAGCCATGATCGGCGACCCCGCCACCAGTCTATATCGCGAGCTCTGTGTTGAGGGTCTCTCAATCAGGGCTAGGCTCTCTCGTCTAGGTCCAGCAACAAAGTGTGGCCTTCGTCTCCCTGGCGACACTTCAAATCTCAGCTGTGAATGGCGGACAGAGCACTGGGAAGAGCGTGCTCACGGATCAGATGTGTTGTTTCTGAAAAAACAATAATATGTCTCAGTGTTCCACCATAGATCTCTCCCCCCACTTGGTACAAAGACAACATACCTGGTAACTGGAACTGGGGAGTGCCAGACTTCCATGTGTGAGTGTGCACAGTACATTTGCTTTGGCTGTGGCAATGGTATAATCTCTCCCTTTTCAGCAATAAGCAACAAAATGCACTGTTTCAATCAAGCAATGGATGAAATAGAGAACTCCAGCAAACAAAACTCCCTTTATTTAATTCAATTTACAGTGAATTTGTCCATGGGAGCAGAAATGATGTCTGTGGTATTGGAAACAGAAACTGTCTGAAAAGTAAATATTTTTCTTCTTCCAATTTAAGATCCCTGATGTGGGAACCCTGGTGGGACTGCACAAAAGCATTATCTTCTGCTCGAACAGAAGCATAACAACACAATTCCACTACACAAGTCAATTTTTTTTCTTCAGCACTACTCCTCAACTAGTTTTGCAGGACTCCATGCTATGGAATCCTCAGCACTGCTCACTCAGCTGTCTCACAATTTAGACACAGATCTGATTGAATATGAGGAAATGCAAGCAACCAAGCCACTGAGTGCCTCAACAGGCCACAGGAGTATCTGTTCTCCAAAAGGAAAAGGTGGCATCATCAGCAGCATTCCATGGGCAAAAGCAGTAGTATCTTCTAACTCTCCTAGCCACACCCACTGATGTATTGATCGCGTTCAAGCCACTCGCCGGTCGGTCAGTAGTGGGGTGAGTAGCCACAGCGAATCTGGGCTTCTACGATTTGAATTTTGAAAATTTTTCTCCAAATTTTAATTTTTAAATCTCATTTCTCTTTTTGTTTCTGTTTCTAGGATTTGGAGAGCTTGAATACTGAATGACATGGATGCGAGGTGTGATGGTATTGACTTGCCTTTTATACAGAATATCGGTTGCGAAGTCGCAAACCCGTTTGTCTATATCTAGATACATATGCAAAAGCAACCAAAAAAATCCAGCTCCGTTGAAGAATTTCTGGCATGGGAAGTTTATCAAATCAATCTCCCTAGGTCTTATAGAGCAACCAGGCATGGCAGCCAGGTTAGCCACTCGATTAGATGATCATACACATAACAGCTAGCAACTGTTATTGGAGCCTGTACCCTAAATATGGTCAAACCCTCCGGGGGATGCCTGGGCTTGCTAAGCATTTGCACCATGAAAGGTGCTTATCAGAAGCGATGTTCTGTAAAAATGAGTCAAGCCTGGAGAAGATTTAGTAAAAAATTTGAAGCACTCAGCCCAGTTCAGCATGAGCATTCGGCTGTTGACTGACTACACTGTCACAACTTTCTCCACATTGAACCTCTGAGCTTGCCTGAAGTAATGTCCCCGCTGATTGCTCACAATTCTCTTCTGATGCCCATCCTCACTCTGCATCAAGAAATCAAAATTAAAATGTGTATGCCCGAATGCCCACATGCACACCTTTGCATTCCTCAAACACTCCTGTCTGCTCAAATCGCTCGCAAACCCAGAGCTAATCGCACTGCCAGAGTGTGCCGGGTCAACCGCTCTGGGGTCCTGAGTAATTGGACTGTGGTGGGTAAAAATCACGATTCTCCTTTCTGACTCTGCAGTAGAGATGGTGGCAACTTGGTCATTCAGCCACGCCAGATCTGCCGCGTGTGCATTGTTGTGGTCCACAATGGTCCAGTCCTTGATGTAATAGAAGTCATTTAAGCCAAAACTGACTCTCTCCTCCTGCTCGGCGGGAACATGCGAGTAAAGTGTGCATCCAAGCACAGTGAGATTCTCAGAAACATCGTAGCGTGTCTGATCCAGAAACACAAATTTCCCAAACCCCAGAGTCGAGTCGTGCTGCGCGCGATTTTCTACCTTGTGTGAAAACTCATTGATTTGGCGTCTCACCTCCGCCCAGCTGGAGTTGAATGGTTCATGATTCCCAAGAAGGAGGAAGACGTGTTGGAACTTGCATAGCTGTGCCTCAATGAAGGAGAAGAAACCTGCATCACAAACGTTTCCGATATCCCCTAGGAGGGCGAGATAGGTGGCTTTGGCGGGGATATCGAAGACGCCGTAGGCGTTGGGGGATTCGAGATGAAGGTCGGAGAGAATTTGAAAGGATGCCATGCTGATGTGCTAGAAATAAAGTAACTATATCGTTTGTTGGCTGTATGAATGGGCCGGTATGTCAGAATACAACTGATAAATCTGAAGACATTTAAAGCATACCGAATGAAGTTGTATAAGCTTTATTGAATGCAGCAGCAGTCTCGGGCTACTGACAGCTGGTTAGGTAGTTTTAGAAAAGAAATGGGAGCTTCAGCCGATCAGACAATCTTGTTCAATACCAGAGACCTACACCAATCATTCATAATAATAAGCTGTTAGAAAACTGGTAGATTTGAAATAGTATCGTATGAGGATCGGGTGATATCTCTTATGAAGAAACTGAACTGAGCTAGAACTTAGTCGGGCTACAGTCGGAGCATGATTAGGAATTTAGATAAATGTTGGAGATGCTACACATAAATGAGCTCCGTTATTACTCTGTAAGCTGATGATGAGTCCTTGCGTAGTGCTAAATTCAGGCAAGAGTTGGTTAGCTATACAAGGCGGGGATGCTAAATCGTCCAACCAAGCAAAACACAGACTGGCGCCTAACTCCTGTATTTAATTTGCTGGATGAAAAAAAAAATGGCATAAGAGAAACAATACATGCAACATCAACGAGAAATGGAGAAGCCAAAAGATAACAGCAATTACCACAGAGCAGAGGCGGAATCGAAACAGAACAAAAAAAAGTATGCTAACATGGACTACATGAGCACAGCGACAGTGTTCTCTAATGTTGATCGCAGAACAGAACACATAAGAATAGCATACAAGTGGAACAATCAAAACAGACAAAAGCAAACCAATAAAAGAAAACATTAGTATCCTTCTGTGGTCTCTATCGCTATCATGTTGCCATCAGGCAGCAATGCGATCAAGTCTTCCATCAGTCAAGCTTCTAGAACCTTTTCAGGAGCCGATCAAGATAATTGACAAGTGCGAGCATTTAGCTTCTTGCCATCGATGGGGAGAGTAGTGATGGTGTCGTCGCAGGGTATCCTATAGGTCCACCGTGCGAAAAACTCACAGTTTTCTCTGACATTCTCCTTAAAATCATAGAACTTGCTCTTGGAGATGTGAAGATGCCTCCCATCATGGAACGCCTGCAAGATACCTGCTTTAGATCGAAAAATGGACATAGATGGACGAAGTTTAACATTAGGTACCTCGTGAAAAGGGATAATTGGTTTTGGTCATGGAGATACGACGCCAGAAGAGGAAACGCTTGGCTCACGAGCAGGTCTCCTGTTTGTTCATGAAAGAGGCAACGTGTCGGGGAAATGTATCGTTGATCGTAGGCGAGAAGTCTCATTCTCCATTTCATGTATACAACAATGGGAAGCACCTCGCTGCAACGAAGAGGTTCCTCAGGATCTGTATAATGAGCAATTCTGAAGCTGCAGTGAGAGATAGTAATTTCCTCTACTTCAAATTCTCTACACGTTTGCCACGATAGGGGCCATAGGCCTACATTCGCCAGTCCCGATACGAGGATTTTCACGGCAACACCTGGAATTAAACAAGGAGAGAAGTTGATATGTTAGCGCATGATTTCTCACAGCATCTTTTTGAGTAGCAACTATTATATTGACGAGCAACTTACCTACACGGCAGCCAAGGCTGCTGTCTGCCAGTAAGAAGCCACCCACAAAGGGACCTCACGGTATTTTGGAGCGTATAATCAACACGACGAGATTCTGCACTATATCCCTCTGACCAGTCATAGAAATCCGCATTGTCCCAGTTAAACGCCGGGAAGTCTGCCTTTGGAAGTGGTTTGTAGAAAGTCGCATCGCCATCCTGAGAATCCCCTTCAAGCTCCAGGGAAGAACGCTTTAGCCCAAGCTCCTCCAAGTCGTGATCCCGTTAAGTCGTGCGCTTGAGGGTCTCTGTCTCCCTGAAGAGGCAGCTGAAGTGACAGGCCACACCTGCGTCTTTGCCCCGCGCTCGAGGGTGGACGGTCGCATCCTGTGTCCCCATCTGTGACAACTAGAAGCTGAACGAAAAGAGATTACGGTTTACTGATTGCTCTTGCTATCGTAACCGCCTGCCAGCCTGTCATCCGGTAGTCTGGGAACGGATATCTCCTATCAAAACGGATTCAACAACAACAATGGCTATAACATCACGGATCGCGTAATTTCCACGATCGTCGTAGTACGTCGAGCGGTTAGCCACGTGATCGAAGGCGGTCGGGCAGAGGTTGAAAATTGGCGGCAGAAAAAAATAGGAAGAAACTATTCGAGGCAATTTCAGGATTCAAAAAGCCCAAAAATATAAACAGCACGAACGATACTGGAGAAAATGGCTCCGTAGCGGATTATTGTGGAGGTGCGATTAAAGGTTCTCCCTAAAAATACGCGCCATAATTTCCGTACTAATTCCACCTTAAACAGTCCACTTTTCCGCCGCTTTTCAATATCAGCCATGGACGTCCACAGATGTCGATTCGTATCATACAACCCGCAGGCAATTAACGCGCTCGCATTCTCCCATCCTCCGTCTGCAGAAATCTCCGGCAGAGGCGTGCCTACCCTTCGTCTTGCCATCGGTCGTGCTAATGGTGATATCGAAATATGGAACCCCCTCCGGGGAGCTTGGCTACAAGAATCGATTTTACGTGGAGGCAAGGACCGCAGCATCGAAGGCGTTGTATGGACTCAAGACCCCAGTGAGGATGCGATTGACAGCAATGGATTCAAAGCTCCTGGGAAGTTGCGGTTATTCAGCATTGGTTCCTCCAGTGTAGTGACAGAGTGGAACCTGGGAGAGGGCCAGCCGGCGAGACACTCGAGCGGAAACTTTGGCGAGATCTGGTGTTTGGCTGCACAGCCCCGGTGGAAACCGACGAAGAAGGACAAGGATGGAAAATTCTTACCGCCTGCCGAGGGTGAGTATACCGGACAGCATTTGGCAGTAGGGTGTGCCGATGGGTCGGTTGTTATTTTGTCGACGGAAGACGGGGATTTGAGATATCTGCGTTCCATGAGGCCTTCAACTAAAAAGGCTCGAGTCCTTAGTATTACGTTCCAGGATCGCAATACTGCCGTGGTTGGATATGCGGATAGCTCTATTCGAATATTCGATATCCGCAATGGGAGGATTTTGCGAACAGTTTCTATGGGTAAGGGTCCTGTGAAGGGCTCTAAAGAGCTTCTGGTATGGTGTGTGAAATGTTTGCCGGACGGAACTATCATTTCTGGCGACTCTGCTGGTGAAATACGATTCTGGGACGCGAAAAACTACTCCCTTATCCAACGCATACAGGGCCACCAGGCGGATGTGTTGGATATTGCTGTTAGTGCCGATGGAGAATCTCTCATCAGCGGTGGTGCGGATCAGAGGACGACTGTTTACAAGCTAGGGGGAAGCAAGAAGAACGATAGATCGAGACGATGGAAAGAAATAACTCATCGTCGATATCATACTCACGACATCAAGGCTTTCGCTGTTTATGAGACTAAGGATATAAGCATTGTGGTATCTGGAGGTATGCCCCGTTCATGCCGTTCAAACGTTGAAAAGCTTGCATCTTTAGCTCGTGTCTAACCTCAGAATGCTAGGGTTGGACACAATACCCGTCGTCGTTCCGCTGCGTGAGTATGGAGCAGAACATCACCGAAAACTATCGAATCTTCCCCAAATCCCTCAGATAGCCTCATCGCCTTCGTCTCGCCTTCTTATGAGCTGGTGGGAACGCGAAATAAACATATGGTATATATCTAAGCGCTCGGGGGCTGGTGAGCAACTGCTGGACGGGACCAGCCATAAGCTCGTAGGCAAAGTGCTGTTCCAGGGTGAAGAAAGCCTCACCTCTGCGGCCTTGTCGTCAGATGGGAAACTCCTCGTTGCGGCAACTATAGCAGAAGTTAAGATGTTCAGCCTAACGTGGCGAAAGGGAGACAGCAAGCCCGCACTACGCGTCCAAAAGATCGATCTTCCGCCTGCAGTGGCTATCCACGGAGCTAAATCTGTTACCTTCTCACCCAATAGCCAATGGATCTGTCTAATCCGCGCCAACAACGATATTAACCTTGCTAGAATTGTTTCAAGTTCGAATCCAAAGGAAAACCCGCAGATCCTGTCACAGCTTATAGATTTAGACCGCATTCCTCGGCATATTCGACATAAAGAGATCTACGGCACGCTTGGCCAGTATGAACGGGGTATTCGCTGTGTCGTATTTTCCGAGGACAGTAGAATTCTCGCCTGTGGGGACATCGGAGGATTTATTGACTCGTGGATATTGGAGGATGTGGTAGAATCGAGAACCGACACAAGGGTGAAGGCGAACGGGCAAGCCTCTTCGGATGATGAATTTTCAGATGGCAATGATGCTCCCGTCGTCCTCGAGGGCCAGCGTTGGATACAGACACCATCAGAATCGCCCATCCCTCGCCTGAAAGCTGGAATTTTATTGCTGTCATTCCGCCCGTCAAATCTCTCCCGCAAGAAGGCCCTTACAAACGGCACCACCAATTCGCATTTTACGCGCCCGTCTTTGGCTGGTACCGATCGTCTAATGATATTAACCGCAGATCACCAGCTGTCTGAATTTGAGCTGTTGAAAGGGAAACTGTCTGATTGGTCCCGAAGAAACCCCAAAGCATACCTGCCAAACGAATTCACCATACTTAAGGATCGAGCGATGGGTGCTTTTTGGGATATCAATCGGAGTCGGGAACGTTTTTGGTTGTACGGTCCTACATGGATGTGGATGTTTAATCTTTCGCAAGATTTCCCCCCGCCAGATGGAGCAGCGGAAAACAAGGATTCCCCGGGAGCAGCGAAACAGAGAACGAACAAACGCAAACGGGATGACGAAGAAGGGAAGCTGCCGAAGACCAACACTGGTGCTGGAGATAGAATGCCACTTTCGAAATCCGATGTAGTTATGGGAAGGAAAATACGCAAAATTGTGGGTGATGAAGAGGCAAATGCGCAATGGATAGATCTCAAACCGGAAAGAACCCGCGATGATGCGATTGAAGAAGACGAATATGAACCGTGCAATGACTCGTCGGCTGCAAGTGACTCCGCGCTAGCACGCCTTCGACGAGAACAGAGCTTCACCGAACCGGAAACGAGGGAGAGGGAAGGCGAAGACGGTGGCAGGGATAAGGAGACCAACCATCAAGGTCAATATCATGCCAACGGTACGAGCACAACTTCCCCCTCCTCATCCATCATTCCCAGCACGAAATCGCAAATAGCGTTTGCCGTCGTGATCATCAACGGACCACCCGTCGCCAATGGCGACAACGCACTGCCGAAAGGAAAACAAGTGCAGAGCCAGAAATCAAAAATGGCTGTAGCTGTACCCGAAAAGCTTAAACGAGAAGAACAGGCCTCCGTTTCAATCCAGAATGCAACTGACGCAGATTCTGTACCAGACCTTCAGGTTCAAGCGCAAGAGCCGTCGAAAAACTCACCGCGGGAACGTCGTTGGTGGCATACCCACAAGTATCGAGATGTTCTCGGAATAGTGCCCCTCGACCAGTTGGGCAGTGGATCAGATGCAGAACAGGAGCAGGGAAAGGACGGTTTTAACCTGGAAGTTGCTGTGGTGGAGCGGCCGATGTGGGATGTAGATCTGCCTGGGCGGTATGTGCGGGATTACGAGTAGGGACCTCCTCATTGAGAAGATAGAGGGAAGAAGGAAAAGCTGTACAGGCGTTTGCTTATTTTATATTTTCCTATATACACCACCAGCATGGCCAGGGTGTTGATTCTTTTTTCTTGGCTGAGTTACTCTATCCAGATGCGACGTTGTATGTATGCTATCTATTTATTATATACCACATCAAGTATTATCCCCAAGCAGCCACTGTCTAAAATATATCTCTGCTTGCAGATCAGGCATCTAGTCTGCTACTTTTCTCCCAATTTCAACGAGGAGGGATAATTGTGTGACCTGTTATATCTGGAGGGTTTCATGCCGTGATCTAGAGGCGCAGGAGAAGGGTCATTTACTAGTATTATACAACCCCAGCCCTTGGGTCCACGAGACAGACCAAGTGCTTGACTTGGAACATAAGGGGATATTGTGGTCATTAAGGAAATCACTCGAAACGAGAGTTGTCGCGCTGTTTGAACCCACGATCAGCTTCAGTCTGTCTGCAGGACGCCACGCCGGCCATTGGAGGCGTCGACGGCCTCAAACTCGCGTCGTGAATCCAAAGCTGACTCTGAGCGCCGATGCAAACAAATGCAGAGGATCATTATTATCTCTAGCTTCCCTGACACTTCTGAACGGAGGAATCGGGGCGCGAATGCCGCTGCATGAACTTTCTTTTCTGTCTGCGCACTGCTCTGCCCTGCCACGTCCTTTATTTTGATCGCAGCCAGGCACCAGGGTTTGCGATGCGCGTTTCAAACCCTGAAATTCTTCTGCCTTTCGCTTTGGCTTTCCATGCCCAAGGGGGAACATATAAGATCGCGCCCATTCCCTTGACCTTAGAGGAAGCAAGTAAACAAATGAAGGCGTCCTTCATTGCTAGTACTTAAGATCGCCGATGCCCACGCTCGTCAATTCCGTGTCCTTGTATATTTTGCTCACAGGCTTAACTCCCAACCGGGGATCTTGTCGTCTTTGATCTTGAATCCCGACGGAGTGTACATTGGGAGTAATCTAGATATGCCCGAAGAAAGCGGTCTGTACTGCATTCTATGCGCGGGGTTCATCCATTATCAATCCCCAAGAGAGTCATGGCGGACGGAGTTTCGTGCCGGTAAGTAGACATCTGTATCCGTCCAACATAGTATTTACATAATTATCACCGATCTTCTGGACGGCGATTCCACAATGGACTACCAATTCTGATATTTCATACTAGTTCGTGTTACCCACGGCGATGGCGATGAAAAGAAGCGCTTATTGACTGGCGTGGGCGGATTTATACACCGCGACTTTCCATTCTCAGCCCCGTCGAATCCCGACCAACGCTACGACGATAAAGAATACAGGGTCTCTCCACTGGATGAGTTTGTGCCCTTCCTCTCCGCATCCAATCGTATCGACATTGGATACGCCTTCCATGACTTATGTTGGCGCCTGCTCAATGCTCTTAGCTATCCGGATCCTGTCCCGATAGACCGCTTCTACGATATATGCAGCTCATTCCATCCGCGGAGCCAAAATTGGTTGCCGTGGGGTCATACCTATGGAGGCTTATTGAAAGCAGACCGGGTCTATTACCCCTGGGAGGAGGCCCGCCTTGCTGGCATGATCACAGGCTCTGTCACCAAACCGAAACTATCTCCATATTATTACTATAAACAGGATCCCTGGAATATCCCGGAATTACAACAAATATTGGCGGAGACGAAAGAGAGCCCCGGCCGGGAATCATGCAACGAGGAGCTGAGGATATCCTGCAGACCGCAGCAGCATGCGGATTGCTTCTCAGTGTTGCCAGCGGAGCTCCTTGGAGAGATTATGACGCAGCTGCTAGTAAAAGATGTTGCTAGCCTAAGACGGGCGTCAAGGTCGTTCGCCAGTCTTCCGCTCACGCAATATTTTTGGTCCTCTCGATTCCGACCTGAGATGGACCGGGATTTCATTTTTGAGGCGACCATAGCAGACCGTGAATCCGCTGTTTCTGCTGGGCGACGTGACTGGCGAGCGTTATATGAGAAAACGGGCCAAAGCCTACTCGAAGGCGGCGCCTTAGCAAATCGGCGAAGAATTTGGAACTGCAATAGATCGCTTGCAAGATTATTGAGCATTGAGCCGTTGGACAAAGAGCGATTGGCGAGAGCGGACCGATACAATAATATCGTGTGGAAAGTTGTCGGGGCACGTTACCCATCTAACCAGTACAGTAGGCTTTACGTTCAGGCAGCTCGTCTACCGCGTGAAATATCTCGGATTGCGGTGTCCTTGATCACCCTCAATGGCAAACAATATGTATCGGGAATCCGGGTTAGTTCGCGCAAAGAACCGGGTGTGGACATGGGCTATATCATTCCGGGCAGTGAAATTGTCCTGGATCTGGAAAATGAGAACGGCACTCCTGTGACGCTCTCCGGATTCATTACTGCGGTTGGACCCAGCGGGATCCATGCGCTGCGAGCTACCACGCTTGAAGGAGTGTTATCGATCTGGGGAGGTTGTCCGGATTCCAAGCCTGTAACGCTCCGACTTTGCAACAAGGAGCGTATATCCCATCTGAAATGCGCTTTCGATGTATGTACTGACCCCTCGTTTCATTTCCCTTTCCTTCATCTAACTGGTCATCCTAGGGGTTTAAACTCGTTGCGATCTCGGTCCCGGACCCAGAAGTCGGCTCGCACGAACGGCCACCACATCTGCCCTTGCGGACAACCGCGATCTGGTACCCCACCGTCCCACCCGAAGATGTTTACCTGCACGAATCCACTTTCGCCGGCAAGGAAGTGCCCCAGTCCGAGTACCACCCACTCATTCACGTAATGTTCGGTGGGCCCCAGGGTTCATATCTAAAATATCTCACCCGGATATCGGTCACAGTTTCGGGACAGACTATTGTTGGGATAGATTTTGAGTATGGGGCCGAGAGCGCGCCAGTCGAACGGCTACAAGCAGGTCGTAATGCCATGGGTGGGGATGACTCGTTGAGGATACCTTTCACTATTGACGGGCCGGGTGGAGAAATTCTTACGGGCATCCAAGTGAACGGAGACTGCTGGAAGAATATAACGTCGATAAAGGTAAGTTATATATATCCCAGGGAAGGTTTCTTCTTCTTTTTTTGTCCCATTGTTCCTCAAAATCCCTTCCTCCGTTCCCCTTTACACTAGGACATCAAGCTTACAACAATGTGCGAATAGGTCGCAACAAACCGCAACCGACAATTCACCTTTCAGCCAAATGCAATTCCCCAACTGAGGTTCCCACCCGGACCACTGGTTCGCAAAAAGATGGGAAAGATAGAAATCACTCCCGGAACGACGATAATAGGGATATATATCATGCACGTACGTTTTTCATCCTCTCAAAACTTCCTTTCCAAGTAGTGTTTCCTCCTACCTACCCACCTACCTACCTATCAAGGTTGAATTGTATATGCGTATACCCTCCACGGTCACGCCGGTTGTTTCCGTTCCTTACGCTAAGTTTGCAACTGCGTTTCCATGGGTAAATCCATACCTTCTCACTGACCCAGCTTGCTAATGACCTCTTGTATTTCTCTATCAATCAAACAGGATAGTTTCTCCGGTATGATAGGGCTGGGCCCTATATCGAAAAGATTGCCAGAAAATAGCCACAACGGCAGCCACGCGAAAGACAAATCATGAAGAAAACGTGGGGAGCATATCAAGAGTTTTTTCTGTTGCTCTATAACTTGGGAAGGCGTTTGGTATTATGTGCATTTTCATGATACAGCTGTGCCGGCCGGGTTAATTCCTTCACGCTGAGCATTCTCTTCCCGTGACGCGGGGGGAACTGCGTGATTCACTCTCCAGAGAATCTCGAATATCTCCGCACCCTGCTTTAGCAAGGAGCATGGCATGCTGATATCCTTCAAAAAATAAAAACAATGTGGAATCGACTTCCAAGCCGGGAAAACGAAACAAAACGAAACATTCACATCAAAAAGAAAAAGAAAAACAGAAAAGAAAAAAAGAAAAACCACGATCCGTCCCGAAAGAACCAACCACTAATACTAAACACACTCCAACGCCTCATACACGGGCGGCCTCTCCACCAAAATCCGCATACCAGGCCTCACAACCCCGCCCCTCTCCACAATGCCCATCACCCCGGCCTTGCGCGCGACAATCCGCCCATCCGGCCCGCGCACAACGAACTTCTCCACCAACCCGCTCCGAAAGCGATTAATCTGCGGACACGGGTTCCGCAACCCCGTGACCACCACCTCCGCGCCGTCCCCGTCCCCCCCCTCCTCCTCCTCCCCGCCGCCGACAAACCGCAACCTCGTCCCCTTCCCGAGACTCAACAAATCAATCCCGCGCGTGGTGATGTTCTCCCCCAAGTCACCGGGCCGCAGCTTGCCACCGCCACTCCCACCATCACCACCATCACCACCATCATCGCCAGCAGCATCCAGGATCTCAACATGCATCAGATGCACCTGGCGCAGATTCGGCGGCGGCGGCGAGATATGCAGACGCGAGCGGTGCTGGACGGTGGCGCCGGCGTGGGCGTCGCCGCGCACGCCCAGGCCGGGCAGGAGGGTGATGCTGGGTACGCGGGGCTTGGAGAAGGAGTGCGTTGCGGAGGCGTGGACGCTTAGGACGGACATTTTCTTTCTTTTCTTTTCTTTTCTTTTCTTTTATGGATGTATGTACGTATGTACGTAGTTATTTATTTATGAGGTTCTTTTCCGTCGTGGAGACGGGTGTATTTTGATTTGATTTGAATTTGCAATAAATAACTTCAATAACGAAAGGAGGGAGAGGGGTGTTGGATATCGAGTCGGGTCCTGTCATAGATACCTTCTGAGTCATACATACATACATATTTTGCCCATCAAGCAACGCATGGGCCTTTTTTTTTTCAACAATGGGCCAGATGGAACGAAACTGCGTTAACTAGTTTAACCACCTACGTACGTACTAGTGATTACTTCGGCCATCCGGGGACGCAATAAACCAACTCTTTTTTTTTCATTTTTTTTCCTCCTCCGTACATCACCTGTATGATAAAAATAATAGTAGTAATAATAATAATGCATCCCGGATGGGACGAACTGTATCTTGTAAACAACGAACGAGACTGGCTCATGCTATGCTGCGTTCGTGATGCTGGGATGATCCCGTGCTCAGCCCCACATCTCGCCAACGAGGGGAATAATATATATATTCTGTATGTACTCCATACACAGGAAGAACTTCATACAACGCAACAAGAAATCCCAAAACTACCTACCGCATTGGAATTGTAGAAACATCGAATGTAGCAACTAACAAATGCTTACCTACTTCGTAGAAAAAAATAGGTAACTAATATAAAAAAAATGCCATTAATACAAGCACTTATTAACACTATCTAGGTTCCTTTTCTTTTTTTTCTTTTTTCTTTCTTCCTTTTTTTACCTGGTTCAATAACAATATTTGACACGGTACGGTATGGTATATTAACAATTCATTAATATGGCATCGGGGAGCAAAGAAAGCACGCATAAGAATATCGATTAATCTTTAAAATAATAGAAAGGATATATCGGGGGAAGGTCAAAAGACGAAAGACGAGAGAAGAAAAGGTTAACAAAGGAAATCAAATAGAAATTAGAACCACAGGAGGGTATGGCTTATATCATTTTCAGTAACTGGATAGAATGGAGTAATGTAAAGGCAACATAGCAAACATGAAAAAAAGAAGAGAGTGAGAGAAAGCAAAGAAAAGATATCAGCGAGCAACCAACGCCTCCCAAAGCCAGGGTTGAGGCATTTATATATAATATGTGATAAACTGATAGATTAAAGGGAACTGGTGCCAAAAACCTAAAATTCAAACCCGAACCCGAACCCCAAACCCCAAAGCCGGATGGATGGATAAAACATAGGGAAACAGCGGCAAGCTGGCGTGCAGTGTGTAATGAGTAGAAAAGTATGATGTCCCCGTCCAGCAGAACAGAGAACAAATGGTGGGAGTTAGATCGAGGAACAGGGAATAGAGAGGTGTGGACTTGGCGGCGGAGGAGGTTGAGAGAATAAGATGCGGAGAAGAAAAAAAAAGGCAGGATTAAGACCAGGCGCGGGTGGACTCTCGTAGCCTCTTGTTGTAAGATGAAATGGAAGTTAAGAAAAATAGGAACGGG